TGCATGGCTGGGGAAACCAGACTTGCTCTRCCACTGGGTACCTGCTTGCAGACATTCCCCAAAAGTCCAGGAAACAATCCCAGAGCTCTTTTGCCCAAGTGAAAACCAACCTCCAGCAGGGGAGCCCAGTGTGATCCCCGTGTGGACTCAGAGGCTATGGGAGGACACAGGGAAGGCCGGCGCTCTCAGCTTGTTCCATTCCCCAGCTCCCCGGTGCTATTGTTCCCCAGCAATAAATCACGGGGAGGCGCTGGAATTCTGGGCCGTGTTCTGCAGGAACAGAGGCTCTGAGGGAGCCTGGGGTGCCAGAACCGAGCTGCTGCCTCTCTATGCCCGTGAATTCCCGGGTGAGCGCCGTGCCGAGCCCTCGGCTCCCACGCATCCCGCAGGAGCACCGCGGCTCTGGCGGTTCAAAGCGGCGCTGTGTCCACCCCGCAGCCCTTCCCCCAGCCCTGGATTACTCAATTAGAGATTATGCCTTTGCCAGTTACCTCCAAGCCAACTGGGGCCTCTGCCAAGGTCAACACAAGTTCCAGCCAGTTTCATTAATAACTGCGAGACCAACCCACTGGAAACTCTGAGAGGTTAATCCCAGCAACAGATCGATGTTCCCATAACAAAGCCACGGAGCACAAACGCAACTGGTGATTTAGCAGCCAGCCCAGCTATGTGTGCTGGGAGCTGTGGCACTGCCCCTCTGCCCTGTACCAGGGCAAACCCTGCTGCCATGGGCCAGCACTGCCAAGGCAGTGGCCAGAGCAGCGAGGAGGAAGCAGAGCTCCCGAAAGGCTTTGCTCTGTCCTCGGTGCCCTGCCAGCCTGCGGCCAGGGCAGGAGTTAGTTAGCAGGCTGGCCAAGAGCCTTTTCCATCCCASAGCCTGTCTTCCAGGAGTTCATTGTAAATTGGGCTCTGGAACGGGCAGCCAGTGTGAAATTTGGCATGTACGCTGCTGGCTTCAATGCATCATTAAAAAGGCATTTTGAATGTGTTAATTCCTCCTATTTCAATTAATTGCTTTTAAAGCTACGTCAATATGCATCAAAGCAAAATACCCTTTGCCCTAATTTCTGTTTTGCCATACCTATTTCCTGGCAGTGGTGCTGTCTTTTCCAAGACACCCCCCKCCCACTTTTCTTATTCCATTTTTCAATCCATAACACAACAAAAACAGCCAYGCAGAAAGGGAAGAAATTAAAACCTTTGCACAATGTAAAGCAGAGTCCAAGTCCTAACAACACATGGCTTCTTAATTGCCTTTTTCCATCCACGGTTGTTAATTATTTTACAAAAGAGGGAAGTGGCATTGTCCCTTGTACAGATGGGGAAATCTGAGATAGAGAAAGGGGAAGAGACTTACCCCTGGTGACCAGCAGCCTGCCAGGGCAGATGGCAGCAAGGTTCAGGTTTCCTAAGCCTCCACCCAGCCCCATTCCCGTGGGATTACATGGCTCCCTGTAAGTGAACTCTTGCCAGAGCAATAGGCACTCATAAGTGCAGGCAGCCAGCCCCTGCAAGGGGACTAAATGCACATCACCACTGACTCACATCCCATAGGAGGGAGCAGCAAACCACGGACGTGGTAGAAGAGCAGTCTAAAAGGTGGGGAGAAGAATAAGTGAAAGCATAAAGGAATCAGGAGATGGAAGGGGAGGGGCAGGATGAGGCTCCAGCCCTGGAGAGGGGAGAGCAGGCACTGATGGAGCAGATGTGCCATGTTCACTGTCCCTGTGGGGCAGGATCACGGGCAGCAGCAGCTGAGAATGTGTGTGCAGGGACAGGGATGGTGCACAACATCCCTGCCCTGCTCTGGGGCACTCCTGGCTGCTGCTACTGATGGAGGTGCCTGACTTTATTGGAAAGAAAGCAGAAGCCACCGAGGGTCCTGGGAACCAGCTCCTGCATCTCTGCCAAGAACACGCCTGGCAAAGCCACATCACAGCAGCTTTCCCAGCCAACCCCACATCCAGGCGTGCAGGGACTGAAAAAACAGCCCTGCTTTAGCTGCTCTGGTTATTGTCAGCCAGCTCGAGAGCACCTTCCTGGGGGGAAAGCATCAGCCCCAGCTGGCACAGAGGGCACAGAGAGGTTTTATTTCTCCCCAGCWGACTGAGCTCACCAGAGCTCTCCAGCCCAGGACCACAGCACTGAAGCAACATGACAACGTGCAACAACAGGGAAAAAGAAGGTGAAGTGGGAAAAAGCAGGCAAAAAACCAATCTTCTGCCCTCTGGCTTGAAAAGAAGCACCAGTGTTTGAGGATATGAGCAATGTGAGGTTCATAAAGAAAGGTAATATCTTTTACTTGTCCCAGTGAGATTTAGCTGAAAGCTGGTGCTTTTGAAAGGCACGCTGCCCAAAAATGTGTCTGCTTTCTCCAGTGGGAAKGTACTGATCCAAGAACTCCTCCTTATAATCTAAGCTTTACTTGGAGTGAGGCTGCAATGATACTGAGAAAGATCTAAGGGGCCCAACTCTCCTCCTGTTTGGGATAGTTAGATTAGAAAAGACATGAGAAATCCACTTCTCTTTGGGGGAGAAAAGACTCTGAAGCCTGTTCCCAGCAGTTTGCCCCATCAACTGCTCAATCTGTGTTTAGAGCCCAGATTACAGCTCAAAACAAAGGCCTTGGAATCGTGCTGACTTCTCTCCCCCGGGCTGAAGGTTGGTAAATCCAGTTATCAATGGTTATCAGGAATGTGCCAAACTCACACCCCATCACAGACCTGATTCTGCATCTCAACTCTAAATCAGGAGAAACCAAGACCACGTATCCACTGCCTGAGAGCAACATCCAGTTGTTGGATATTACAGTCATAACCCCTGGGACAGCCAGGCTGGCGCCCAGAGCGTGTAACCAAACCCCTAYCCTTTTTATGGAGGGCTTTGTGGAGCTCTTACTGTGCAAAAATGASCTCAATCTGCAAAATCACCGTGAAAACCAGTCCTAGTGCTGTTACCCCAGTGAGTAAACCGAGCTCCTCCCCATGCAGTGACTGAAGCTGTGAGGAATGGGGTAACGGGTAAGAGGACAACTCCTGGGATGCTCTGTCTGAACAGCCAGCAGTGTGTTTAGCAATACTGGGCTCACGTGGTGCACCTCACCCAAAGAGCTCACCCAGATAAAGCATGTCCCAGATAAAGCATCGAGCCACTGGCACACTCTGAGTCAGCAGCACAGACAGAAYAGCAAATATCCCTCTCCAGCTCTGGTCACTGGGACATGTCCTGCCACCGTGTGTGTCTATCACTGCTCCAGGACACACGTCTCACCCAGCACTGAGCCTCTCAGGAAGGGTTTTATCATCTGTCCTTGGTGGTGAGTTCAGAGCCCAGAGCCAAATTAAACCATGGAAGGGCTGTGGGTGAAGGACAGCCTCAGCTCTTACATTTCCCCTGCACCCACACACAGAGCAGCTCCTCCAACACGCTGAGGCTCAGAGCAATGCACATTTTGGCTTCAGGGGCTTTTCCACCACCTTAATGTCCATCAGCAGTTTACAGACTAGGCTGAGCACAACTGCTCAGAACTGATGCCAAAAGACTGCTATTAACCCCATTTCCCAAGCTGCAGAAGCTGCCATACCCTGTGCCCCAGAGCTGCCTTCAGCTCCCAGAACCACACTGAGATCATCCAGACTCRCAGTGAGCTCCACCAAACCCATTCTGGAAGCAGCTTAGAGCAACTAATCCCAGCTCCACTAAAGCTCTCACAAGTCAGGGACACCACATTTTCTTCTTCCTTCCAGACTCTAAAATTACAAATGGCTCCACTAAGAGCAAAATCTTGTCTTGCTGAATTGTAYCTCAGCTTTCTCGCTCTTTCATTAACAAATATTTTAAGCCCCATGAAATGCATGTAATTCTTGGAAACATGTCACAGACCCAAGAAGCAAATGCAGCCCCTAAAGTGATGAACTAATTCCTCAAGAGTGGCTCTGCATATCAGAAACAAATAGTTGAGACAATCCATGGTTTTCTGGTGGGAAGCAGAACAGAACTGCTGGTGGGAATAATGCACAGACAGAAAAGTCATCCTTGTTTCCTCTTATCTTTGGAGAGGGATATTTTTTGTTTTAAGGTGCATTTTCTCCATCAGCCATCCAACCAACATCCCCTGAGGATGTTCTATGCTTCAGAGCCTTCGGGCCTCCCTTGGCATCTGAACTATTCCAGAGCTAAATATCCTAGAGGGATCTCAGCCAAAGCCCACTGGTACTGTAGGGATGAGAGATGTCTGAATATCCCAGCTACTCCCAAGGAAGAGCTTTCCTGTCCGTATGTTATTTCAATCAACTCCCACAGTATCCAGCACACCATCCCCATCACCCTGGCTACTTTCCTTTCATTTCTCTACAAGTCCAGCTGCACCAGCCCTCAGCACATTCATCCAGCAAGACTTTSCTGCCCACCAGGAGCATGTCCAAACTCAAGGTAAAATCAAACACAATTTACCCCAAGAGAAGATGAAAGTAAATCCATGCACACAAGCAAGAGATTTCTCTTTGCAACATTTATTCCCTGTGCAGAGGGGACAATTTTAAGTAAACGATTTGCTTTGTTAAATGAGACTGGGACAAGGGAGGCTTTCCTGGGGAAGATTATATTAAAGAACCGCCAGAAACTGATTCCAGCCCTTCAAACACCAGGATTAAATAAAGAGATGTGATAAATGAGAAGCATCAAGCAAAATCAAATCAAGGCAGAGCATCCAGAAAAGCCAGACATGACCATCCTTAATTCAGCCTACAGGAGCTTCCATATCACTCTGGTGCATCTAACAGCCCAGGAAAAAAAGGCCATGACTGTAACAGTTCTGGGGAAAGCTGATAAATGCTTCTGTTCCCCCAAAGTGGTCACCCCAGCTCAGGGAAAAGCATCCAGCAGCACCAAGCACTGTTTGATGGACTGGGATCCACCATCCACACTGAATTCAGCAGCTGAACACAAACCCAAATCCCAGACCCCATACCTAGCTGGCAGCACTGCCACCAGCCCCTTACCTTGGAGAGATCCTCGGTGCCTCCCTGCTGGCTCTGGCTCAGGAGGGGTGAGTGCCTCAGCAGAGGGTCCTGCAGCAGCTCCAGGCGTGGCCTCTTGGTTTCAATGAACTCCAAGTCYGATGGCTTGGTCAGGTCAGAGAGATAGGAATGGCCCTCGGTTCTCAGGTGCAGCTCCTGAGCTCTGGGGACAAAGGGAAAGGAGCCTTTAGAAAATAAACTACCTCTGTTTCCCCTATTCTGTGATGCAAACCACTCAAGGAGGACAGGGCTCAACATCTGCCCATTTTCCGGAAGGATCCGCGTGGGGAGGGCACTCAAACATCTCAGGTCTCTGCAGGACCACCAGCATCCCCCTCCTCAGCACCATTACCTGGAAAAYSCCASTGCCACCTCCTGTGCCACCCATGCTGTCCCCACACCAGGACAAAGTGAACCACGCTGCAGGTCTGAGCCTTCCCTGTCACACCACATGGGTTGGGCTGCTCAGAAAAAGGCAAAGCTTGGAAAATCCTCAAATCTGCCCCATAAATCCTCCTGTGCCTCCAAGACCAGGCAGAGCCCCCTTCTGCCATATTTGGCTTATTTAGCCAAAGCTACCTGCACCGGTGTTTATATTTAGCACCTTCTATAGGAATAMCAAAGATTGTACGTTGGGGAAAAATGCCTACTCCTCCGTGGCTAGACAGCAGGGATTTATTTTTCCAGGATGGGGGAGGAAAGAAAGCAGCCACATGTAGCTGCACATCTCTGACACAGACCTGGCAGGCTGTAAAGGCACATTACCCAGAGATAGCAACTGCACCAATGAGTCACRTGGAGCTCAAACATCTTTTACCTGTTAAATAAGATGCAGTTGGTAATACCTGGAGAGTGGGGCTTGGTTTTGCTTTTTTTTTACACAAATGTTGAATGTTTTTTTGTAGCTCTGTTTTCCTTAGCAGGATTCTCTTGTGGGAATTGTGAAAGGATCCTACAAAAATACATGAAACCTTTTACTATGCCCTGGGATCAGCTTTGCTGCAGCAGCTCCAAGGGTGTGTTTTTAACACTTCAGGCAGAAGTGTCTCTTAAAAAAGTAAAAATAAAGGGAAGCAGGGGAGATTCAAAGCTTGTGAAAAAACGTGAGTTTTCTTCTTTTCTCCTTAAACAAGATTGTTGCAATCCTCCTGAGCAGTGGTACAGTGTCCTCCCCAGGTACCAAACACAAACTTAACAGCCTTTGGAGCTGCATGAAGGGGAGAGAGGGAGAAAAGGGTTGTTTTGTCAAGAGCAAGCATAGAAGACAGGGGGTCTTATGCCTCATTTTCCCCTCACCCACAAACTGCAACTGCTGACTGTGAACATCTCAGAGAAGATGGCAARAAGGGAAGGACACAGAGTGCCCTGGAACCAGCAGCTATAATGGCTCTGATGGCATCCAGGGAGAGGATCTGGTAAAAATCCACCTTCTCAGGGGCACCACTGCCCTGTGCCCTCCCCTGCAGCAGCGTGGCCAACTGAGCCCAGCTCCAGGGAGCCAAGATAAACCTGGGAGGGTTATTTTTTAATTTAACCATCAACAGCAGGCACACAAAGCACGTGCATGCCAAGCTCTGCTGCCGTGGGTTTGGCATTGGCATCGGGCAGCAGGTTTGCTGCTGACACACAGAAACAGAATCTGGCTCATCCTCTTCCTCCTCCCCAGCAAAAATGGGGCAGGAGAACGCTCCAGCACCGCCTTTAGTGCTCCAATGTCCAAGGCATGCACTGCAAACCTTTCAGAGCTCAACAGCCCTGAAATCTGGCACTGGAGCACAGCTCGCTTCACCTGCAAACACTTTCATGCTGAATGATCCTCAGATTTTCTCAGCAAGCCCAGAAATCTCTCCTGGCACCTCTCAGGTTTCCTGCTGGCTGGTCCCAGCCCTTTATGCAATCCCTGCCTGCCCACAGCTGCATGCTGGYATTTCAGGCTCTGCTGTAAACCCCAGGAACAATAAGCAACTGTTAAGCTGGGCAGGTGCTAAAATATTCCAACACCCAAAGCTCTGCTGTGCTGAGGCAATTAAAAAGCAGATATATTTATTTTCACTCCTTCCCTTTTATAAAGGCCACATTACCAAGATGCTGCTAATTGACACAGGAYGCCTCCAAGACCTCTGCAGTTGTCAGGAACCTGAAACAACTGCTCCTCTTGGAAAAAAACCCCATGGATCCCCAAGATAAGAGCAGCACTCAGCTTTACAAAGGCGGGTACTCACAGCGAGCCAGGGGCCACGCCAGGGAAAGCAGCTGCAATGTTATAAGGTGCTATTTTATTTCCATTTCCACATCCACTGGAACGGCTGTTAACTTTATCCACTGGAATTTCCAGCCGCTCCCGAGATTACTTTGCCCAACACAACCCGCTCAGCCTGTCCTGGCTGCAAACACAAAATGCTTTTGCTTGAAGCCTTCACACCTTTCACTCTTCACATCCACACCTGCAGCAAGCTCTTTGCAACAGACTTTATACAGCAACAGCATCGCTGTYAGCAAAATGACTCTGCCTGAAAAACCCTCCCATTACACTGAGGTTGGGGTTTGCTGCATTTTCCAAACAGTTCCCATCCGGTTTGTCCCAGAGATTCCTACTTGGCTGAAGGGACAGAGCGCTTTAATTGCRAGTGAGTTGTGCATAATTAAATGAAGCAAAGCAAATGCCAGCGTTAATTACAAAGTGGGGCAGGTCAGCCTTCACCTGAGCTCTTCCCCACAAACACTGAACTGCTTTGGAGGAGCAGAGCAGTGTGAGATGTGCTGACACACAAGGCTGGGTGCCCAGGCTTTGCCCAACTCCCAGCCCTGCTTGGGGCAGGTCCAGAAGGATGGSATAACCCAAGAGGAGACCTTTGGTTTATGACTGATCTGACCAACGAATYGCACCCTCCCAGCTGCAGAGCTGTGTTACTCATTCACCGGGGCCAATCCTCAGCAGACTCACAGAGGGTGTAGGGTTTGAGCAGATAAAATCCTACAGCAGTGTGGGGCACATGCAGCTCCCTCCAGCAAGTGTGGATGACCAGGACTGGGGGAAAAAAAACATCCTTTGCTACATTATGCCTACACCAGAGCCAGCTAAGCACAAAATGGGCTGAAAATAGGGGTTGTCTGGTAGCTGGGTATCAAAGAGTCCTAGAACCCTTAAGGTTGGAAAATACCTCTAACATCAYTGAGGTCAGTGGTTAAGGTGAGAGCTGGGCAGAGAGGATCAAATGAGATACCTGAGGACTTGCAAGAGCAGTCATGATGAGATCTTACTGTGAGTGATCTTACTTTCATTTTTTTGAAGCCGAATCTCGGGTAAATGGGCAAGTAAGAATTTTCAGAAGGCCAAAGACTCTCCCTCCCCACTAAACCACTGTCCAGCTTCTCAGAGCAGCCCAGCTCTCCCCTGGCCTTCAAACCTTCTCATTTCTCCATCAGCTGAGCAACAGAAGGTGGCTGCAGGAGGAACCATGGTTATTCTACAACACTCAGCAAACCCAGCCTAACATCCCACAGCCTCCTGCACCAAGAACCAGCAGCAATTCCAAGCCAGCTCCCCAAAACCTCCCAGCAAATGCACACTGAGGAGCTGCTCCCATCTGCAAATACTGCTCCCTACACCTCAGGGCCAAACGAGGCTGGAAAACTGATCCTCACTGTCTCCCAGAACCAAGACAAACTATGGCCTTGCTGARGCTGTTTATTCCTTCCAGCTGAGATGGTTTGGTGGGAAATTGTCTCCAAAAWTACGTTCTAAAAAGAGTATTCAGCCCCCACAGGTATAGACAGACAATAAAATGTTTTAGAGAGAGAGTAATATAGAAAGCCACTGGTGTTGAAGTGAATTATTTATAGCCAACACCAAGATTTGTCAGAGGTTTCAACAACCCCTTCACGGCTAATGAGAGCCAGAGTGTGAGACTGGGCAAATCAAGGCCTGTTAAAGAGGGAAATGGGAGGGTTTGTAGGAGCAAACCTGCCACCAGCACGGAGAAAAACACATCCAGGACCAGCTGATATATCCCCTTTGTCATGTAGGTGGAGAGGGAGATAAACCATCGTGACTTGACGGGAAGAGCTGCGTGTCTGGGCGGGCAGACAGAGCTCCCACGCCCTCAGCAAAGTCTGCCAGCAGCAGGACTGAGCTTTGCCAAGCCAAAGGTGTGGGACAGCCTGGAGCAGGRTGCCTGGCTCACCGTGTGACCCCACTGAAGGACTCCTGGGTGTCAGGAGATCTGACCAAGCACCCAAGTGCATCCTCAGGGTGCTGGTGCTGTGTGTTCCCACACCTGCACAGCCCYGCAGCCACCTCCTTCCAAACCAACTGCAACTCAGATAAGAGCARATGCTTTATTTAAAACTTGCATGTTGAAGATCCCCATACACAGAGCCTGAATTATTCATGGACAGGACCAGCAGAAGCTTTAACACAATGGCACTGCCTCACTCAAGAGGAGGAGAAGGATTAATTATTTGTTTCTCTCCACAGACTCCCCCACATTCCTTCTTCTCCAGGCACCCTGGAGTCTGCCAGGAAAGTCCTCTTAGGAGTCCTGGGTGGCTGGAACACCCTTGAAACAATGAATTCAGAACATCCTGTGCCCTTGGTCACCCTCCACATCCATCCACAGACACACCAGGCAGCCCACAGCAGAGTTTGCAAGGTAAGGCTTGTCCTCAAGTGCCTACACAGCAACATCTGCCCTCTACAGATGTTGTTTTCCCACATTCAATTATGGGGAGAAAAAAACCACAGCTCCTGGTACATAATTTCCAGTGTGAAAGAGAGAAATACAGCTGAGGGGATTTCAGCCACACCGCTGCTCGCTCCTGAGGAAAAGGATCACCTTTAAAATTGGAAACTTAATTAAAAACCATAAATAAAATCAAATTGGTGGTGCTGTTCTCTCAGGAGCAGCTGGGGCCATTTGGGCCAGCACAGATGAAGACTGAGAGCTGTGTGTGATGTCCAGCATCACACTCAGTGCCCCAGCTTCCCCCAAATCTCTGAGCTTTTGGTAAGCAGGATTGATCCCATGGTTGAGGACAGAAATCCCTCCTGCTCTGGTGCCACACTGCACACACTGTCCCAGACAGCTGCAGGGACACAGCAGCTGTTTTGGGTGTCCTAAATGTCATCCTGCAGATCCACACCAGGTGAACTCTTTGGGCTCTGAAAGAGGAGTGTGGTCTCCTGAAGTRGGGAAATAACCTAACTCTGGATAAAGGTGGAATATTCTGTTTTAACACACACACCACTTATTTACAGCCACATTTTCTGCCAGAGAAGCAGAGACAAGTATCCACCCCAGCATTCCTGCATTAATAAGAAACCTTCCTCTAAAATCCTAACACATATGAAAAGTCAGAAAAATCCCGTTCCTTGATTTTTCAGACCCCTCACCCACTGGCACCTGCCATGTAACACTCAACCCAGTTTTTCTCACTTCTTTTGAGGACCAAAATATATATAGAAGAGGGAAAAAAGCCCTAATCCTTGTCACCTTGCCAGGACATTCCACTGCAAATATTCATGGTACGACTTGTACCAACAGCAGATCCTGAAATACTTCTCCTCGCTCCTGCAGACCAGTTGGCACAGCCAACTGAACAGGCTAAGGGGAAGTCTGTGGATCCTTCCAAGAAAAAGCCTGCTACCAAAAAAACCATCATGGAAAGCAGCACATCCCTGCAAAGACAGCCAGAGCTAATTTTCCCTATAGCAAGAGATTCAGAGGGGTTCAGGTTTTCCTTCCTTCTCCCAAGCCAGAATTGCTGTACAGGGAGTTGAAGTCTTTGCCCAACCACCAAGGGCTGATGACGACTCTCGATTCTGATGTACACAGAAAAGGGCACTCTGCAATTTTCCCAATGAGCTTTTTGCCCAGGAAGGCCCAAAATGTGGGACCATCTCAGCGTTCCATTCCTTCCAGCAAKTCACCACTCAACACCTTTCTGCCAATAACATTTAATTCATGCTCAACTCGTTGTGGCTGTGGTGAAAAGCTTCACCTCTTGTTCCCTTTCCACTGAATCTCAACCAACCATCATCCAAATTGCAGCAATAAGAGACTGAAAGCCTGCACACGGCTGAAGGAAGACCATCCAAGTGATCCCAAATTATTTCTGTGGGATTTTGAGCATTCAGAGGGTTAAACCTCCATTACCATGTGCAAAGACAGCTTTCACAGGCTTTAGAGATCTGTCCACAGTGAACGTAAAGCCAAAAAGGGGGGCAAACCCCAAAAGCAGGACACAGAGTAGAGTGAATCCCTGTTGTTTCCAGGATAGGAAGGCAAACAGCAGCCACCACACAGGCAGGTGGGCTCAGAGGAACCGAGTGGCACCAGGGCTGAGCCCTCTCCAGCCGTGGGCAGTGCCGTGGGTAAGCAGAAGGCACGGAGATGGCAGGGCAGGGATGTCCATCCAGGAATACACACAGGGCCCATYTCCAGCTCTGCCAGCCTGCCACATCCCACTTGCACCAGACTGGCAAGCTGATATCCCTGAGGAGCACAGAGATCCTGGCATCATAACCCAGAGCAGGCAGGCTGCTTCCTCCGAGCTCCCGGCACAACGGGGGACTGGAAGGGTTCCTTTCTRCTGCCACTGCTTCAAGGGGAGCATTGTCACATGCCCAGTGTCACAGAGTGCCAGGAGGGCTGTCAGGCAGGGAATCACAGTAAGAACCTTCCTTTCAGTCACATCCCACCCCTGTGTTTCCCTCTACCCTCACCCTGTGCCCTGCTGTGGATGTTGTTTGCCTCGCTCTCCCTCCTCCCAGCCCCTCATGCTGAGAGCCAGCTGCCTCTGCTCAAAACCATCAATCCCAGCCCAGGAACCACGCCAAGGAGCTGAGCCTGCCAAGGGGACTCAGCTGCAGAGATGGCTGCCATTTCCACCCTCCCTCAGCCAGGCTCTGCTCTGCACCAGCAAGAGCCACAGATATTTTTGGGGAGGGCACCAGTGACCAACCCAAACTGCTTCAGGAGCTTTGGGGTCTTGGCTCTGGAACCCTCAGGTGAGMGAGCACCACCCAAAGGGATCCCCCCATTGTTACAGCAGCTCCTCAGACCACAAAGGTGAACCAGCAAAGCCCAGGGGATGATGGATTTTGAAGTGTAGGGCTTAAAGATGCAGAGAAACAGCAGCTGGCTTTGCAGAACAGACTAACACCTCTCTAAAATCAATGGCACCCAGTTCGAATCACCTCAATAACTAATTACATCGGACTGAAAATTCMTTTACAATTTCTTCTAAGACCCCCTCCTTCTTCATCCCCAGATACCCCCAAAATTTTTCAATGAGTYTGTGTCCCAGCATTTTGGCACAAGATGTCAGCTAAACTGAAGCAGTAATTTTAGCTTCACTACACAGTATAATCTTTGCAAAAGTACAATTTTTTGGATGTTAAAGGGAAAACGGATGAAACGTAAGGTGAGTCTATTAAAAGAGTTTCTTTTTATAGCACTCCAAAACCATTCAGGTTGAAAGTGAGGCACCATGATAAGCATGTGGATGTGTAACATCCCCTGACAACTTTGATTAGCATTTACCCACATTCATGTGAATGTCAACATAAAATTAAGTTTGTGGACTTTGAAATATTTATAAGCCAAAGGGAGATGCCTGGGTGACCACAGCAGATCAGGCATGTGGTACAGCAGACACCAAGGTTTGCAGTTGGGCTTTTTAGTGATACAGAAAGATCAAGATACAATTTTTTAAATGGCACATTATTGGAGAGCAGAACTGCAAACCATCAGTAGTGTGAAAAACAAAACCAGGCAGGAGCATGTTGCTGGGCCCTCTTTACCCATCTCCCCCAAATTTAGCTAAATCTGACCCAATTCCAACTTAACCGTGTTACTCTGTGCTAAGAAATCAAAGCACTGAGAAATCAAAGTGAGCCAAGGCAGTGCAACATGCTGCAATAAATTATGGCTTATCAAAAATGACACGACCCTCTGTACGTGCAGGTGCCACAGGCATAACCCAAGAGGGCACAACCAGATGCAAAACAAACTTTGGAAGTTTCTTTTTGCCTCCAAATTCTCAAGGGTTTGTTTCTGCTGAGMATCAAGCTGAACCCAATCACCAATAAAAGAGGATCCTGCCTGCATTTATTACACATCCAGCACCCTGAGCTCTTAATCCTCTCCCTTAATGATGATGACTTTAGAGAAAAACATTCATCTCTGACTATGCACTGGTTTTGTTCTTAGCCTAAGGAACAAGCATTAAAAAAAAAAGAAGTTTTGCATATATTTACTGTATCAAGGCTCTTATTTCACTTCCAGGCCAGTTTTCATACCAAACCACTAAACATCAAATGCAGAAGAGAAACTGTGAGAGAGAGAGAGCAGCGTTTTGCATTGAAATAGAGAGTGAGAGTGATGTCCTTCAAACATATCAGCTCCTGAAGCATTCCCAGCCACAGCACCTGCCTGACCTGCACCCAAAAGGTGAGGCCACGATAGGAAACAGAGGCACAGGGAGAGGCAGAAGAGAGCAGAGAGGAAAAAACCAGCTCAGAAAAAGTTGTAAGTGGCAACGTAGAAAAAGAAACAAAAACAATGAAAGCAGGGAGGAAGAGAAGCAGAGGAAGCGGAGATGGGGGAGGAAATGAGCTCTTGTCACTCCTCCCTGCAGGCTTGGGAGCCGCAGACCAAATCTGACCACATAGCTTAATTTCCTATGCTGAGAAAGCCAACACAACGAGTCACAGGAGTGTGAAGCTTTACAGAAGAGAAGAGGTGATTTTTTGTTGTTTTTTTGTTGTTTTTAAGACCTCTTTAAAATGTGTGACAGTCAGAGGTAAGGAACCAGAAGGCAAAGGTGTCACAAGGAGCTGAACTGGCACCTGTGGGGGAAAAAAGTGGCCCTACAAGCCCTGATTCTGAAACTCAGCTARTTATTGTGTATGACTGAGGCCTRGGAAAAGRAAGGGAGTGCTAACAGCTTACATGGAGGAGGAATGCYRCATCCTTGGCWACTGTTGAGAAAAGATTAGAATGTAGAAYTGACAACRCAGGTAGCTGGAAATYATAAACATTACTAATACTGTAGCTTTTACAAACTCACCAATTATATCTGATTACTAATTAAACAGCTGTCTCTTAACCAATGTATGACACAAATGTATACTCTGGTTGCTAAAGTASATAAAAGAATAATAAAGTTATTCTTTCTCTCTGTTTTTTTCACCCACTTTTGTGTGTTTTTGTATCTATTCTTGTTTGACCAGCAGTGACAGGCACCGAGCCTGGTTCATACACAGTGCCCAGCTCCCTCCAGCACAGAACCATGGCTCAGGAAGGCAARGAACCAGCTGTACCTTTCATTGCCTGGCTGGAATTCGGAGAGCAGGGACGGCCTCCGCCGCTGCGGCTGCATGATCGACCCCGGCGGGAGGTGGGAAGCAAAATCCCTGGAATGATGCTGGTACTCCAACAGCGCCACGTCCTGCGGAAAACAAACACAGAGCAGCTCGTCAGCATGGTGGGAGCTTCCAAAGGAGCGCAAAACAACTCAAAAAACATGTCTTGTGAAGCATTGGCCACAAAACTCAGCTTTTCCCTCCCCAGGAGGTTCCCAGGGACTCCCAGACCCACAATGTGCTGGAATTGAGCCCCTGGATCAATCTGCCCCCAGCCTTTTCCTTGGCTGCACACAGGGCTGGCTCCTGGGAAAGGACCCCAGCAAACCCAACCCCCAAGCCACTGAGCACCCACAGAGTGATTTTTGGCATCCAAGCAGTCCTTGACGACAACAGTGAATCCAACAGCAAGAACAGGTAAAAACAAAATTAAGTCACAGGATACTTTCAGCTTCAATAATCCATGCAGCAGCACAGAGAAAGGAAAAAAGGGGGAAAAAAAAAAAGAGGAGAAATCACAGACGTTATCTTGAAAATATCCCTTTAAGCACAGCTCCCCTGGGCTGAGCTCAAGGGGTTTGAAAGGACAGTTTGCTACTTATTATGTGTACGTCCCTTTTGTTCCTTGACCCTTGGAGAGTACAGTACAGTATGTTCCTGATTTTAATTAAAGAAGAAGCCCTCCTGCTCTGTGCCACAGACTGATTCCAGCAGCAGTATTTTAGGCAGCCACATTCAGCTGCTATTTTTTATTTGCAGATAGACACTTGACCAGCAGACTAATCATCTAATTAACTAAGACCTTCAGCAATGGCATAGAAAGCTCTGTCACAGAATAACCCTGGTAACACTGACACACATTTACCATAGGAGAACCAATTCCACCTGGGAGTCTATTTTTGAACAGTTCTCAACTGGAACAAGAAAGCTTTAACTTCCTCAAAAATAAAAAAAAGAAATTTCAAAGTCTACAAAAGAAAATCAACAGAAAATAAAGAATATGCACGAAGATGATGTGGGCAGGGGGGTCTCAGCCCCAACAGCTGCAACAGGAATTGAGGYAGAGTGAAGATCAACCTGGGAAAGCTGGGGAATTGCCCCAGCAAGGTGMATGGCAGGCAAATAAAGGATATCCATCATGTCATCATGATCCATGCCATCAGCTCAGCCAGAAATGGGCACACACAAACATCTGCAGGGACAGAGCCCATCAGCTCTCCCAGCCCCAGCCAAAGCAGAATCCCTGCCCATGACAAGCTCCCCCACGTTCACACTCATCCCTGTTCCAAATTAAAAATAAATATTTAAATAGAAGAGCGATGCAGCTCCTGACATCCACCTACAAAACAACACRTCGTGTCTGGGAAGGCACACAACAGGCCCAAAACCAGGACCGTCACCTTCTGTGGGCGTATAAACAAGAATTACCCGTCTGGGAGGCTCAAAGCTGTGCCCTTGAGAAAAATAAAAGGCTCTTGCATGTCCCAAGAACCATCTGTTTTTCCTTTTCCCCCTGCCCACACTCAGCTGAGCTTTTGCCTCCTCTAACCCCATCAGAAAATGGCTGGTGGAGCTCAGAACTTGCTGGCATGGCCTGAAGTGACTCTGACCCACTCTGCACCTGGGCTTTACAAGGAAAAGACAAAACCGAAAAATTAGCCAGGAGGATTAAAACTGACAGATTTCTGTGCCCTGTGATGAACTGCTAAGAGGCACCGTGGAAGCTCTGGCAGGACGTAGGTGGATTAATTGCTCAAAAAGTTACTCCAGTGCGTTGCACTCGAGCTGTGACTGTGTTTTCCAAATGCAAACCCCAGAAAGGTTTATGAGCTGCCTTCAACCCGCCTGGTGGAGTTGGCAKAGCTGGGCTAATGGTTTGACTTGATGACTCCATAGGTATTTTCCAGCCTAAATYATTCTGTGATTCAGAGGAGGCTTCCATTTGCTCCAGCAGAGTTTGAAAGACACCAGTGGGTGCCACCTGAATTCCCCACCACTGAAGCACACAAATCTGATTTAGCCCTCACCCCCACCTCAAATTTCTAGCACCTGCTCCTGGGCAACTCTAAGACACCAGAAATAAAACAAKTCAAGAACCTGCAGCCCTGAACTACTTCGCTCCTCTTCCTCTCCATTGTTTTGCTGCGTTTTGCTCAATTCTGTTTTCTCCTCATCCTCTCTCTCTTTTTGCATCTCCTCCCACCCCACAAATTTTCTGATTTGCCAGAGGTTTGCTCTCTGCAAACCCTTCTCCCACCCCACAAATCTTCTGATTTGCCAGAKCACCCTCTCCAGAGCTTTCAAATCTCCAACTGCCTCCAGAGTAAGGATTTTGCTCCTTCTGCACCAACTTTCCCATTGTTCCTTGTGGTTCAGGTGCTCCTGCAAGGATGTACTTTGGGAATCTTTCTGAAAATTCAAGCAAATTTCATGAATTCAGTAAATGCCACGACAGAAATCATGGAAGCAAAAACACCATGGATAGTCAGGGGCCCTGGCACATCAGCAGATTTGGGGGAGGAGGCACTGGGAGGGAGAGCCAGGGAAAGCACCCTGAGTCTCAAGGCTTCTGTGTTATCTCTTGATTTAGGAGTGCCAAGAACACCATTTCCACCCCTTCYTGGTAAATCCTCTGACCCCAAATAACCTGAGTCTAGCAGGCTCATTTAGATTTGCTAATCAAACTGTTTAAAGCCAGGCTCCTGCACACAATCATTACAGAAAAGTTCTTGGCAACACACAGAGAAAGCCCAACGGAAGGAAGACATTTCCTCCCCACCACCCTTTTAAAATTACTTTAAAGCTTTCAGCCTGCTGCCTTACCTACCATAAAGCCTCCAGCAAAATCTTCAGTGCTGTCCCCCGACCTCAGGATAACCCCCACGCTAAGAGAACAACTGCAGCCGTTCTGCCTCTCTCGCTTTCTGTTTTGGACACGTGCACTYGCTGCTGGGCTTCATTTCTCTTCCYCTGCTGCAGCTGCCACGTCCTGGCTGCCTGATCTCAACGCAGGAGGAAGAAAGGGAGGTCTGAAAGCAGTGATAGAAGCACTCCTGGGTGCTGACCAGCAGCACAGGGCACCAGGCAAAGTGACAACACGGCCACCAGAACCACTGACCCCGAGCTGCCAGCTCCAGCACATCCACACAGAAAGGCATCTCCATCCAGATGGTGGCAACAACAGCGTCTCTGAGAGCACCCCAGAGACAGGAGGCCTGCAGAAAGGAAACCTGGAGCTGTTCTTGCRACAGAAAAGCAGACTGCTCCTCCTCTCTTCCTCCCACCAGCAGAAAAACAAGTACAGACACCCAGTGCTTCTGGCTTCCCTAGGAAACAGCTCTGGAGCAAACCTGTGGAGAGCCAGAGCGCAGCCAGATGAGAACCTGCAGCACAGCTCGTAAGATCCGTCCTCATTCTTACCACGTCCTCAACCGAGAAAAGCAACCAGGAGCTCCCCGCCRAGTTTCGGTGCAGGACAGCTTTGCTCCAAAACCACCAGTGCTTGTTTTGCTGTGCCACCGAGGAGGAGCAGTTCAGGGTCAGCCACCACATCCGCCAGCTGAGCGGCTCCCGGCACACAGCGGCACCGGGGACGCCTCGAATCACGGCATTGGGCACAGACAGCACTGCACCTGCACAGCACCCGGCACCCAGAGCTCACCCAGCCACAAACCACTGCCCCACGCTGTCCTCGTCACCTGCTGCAGGCAGACAAACAGGACAGGGCACTGCACACATTCCCAGCTCCTTGCCACCTCCACCGAGGATTGCTCATTACAAGCTCACCCAGCGTTGTACTGCAAATAATTTTTCTTTTCTAACAATGTGCCGTTTCTTCTGAAAGACTCAATGAGGCTAATTAATAATGGTGTGGTACAAATAGTGAGAAAAAAACAAAGCCAAAACACCCCTGTTTATTCCACTTCTCATGAACTGTCCCTTATCTAATCTCACAAAGGATGCTCGTGAGCAGCTCGCGTGCTGCTCTGGGAACTGTTAACCACAGGGGAAGTGATGGGTGACAACAGAGGGCTGGTGCCCACCACACCATGGCACTGGTGGCACACAGAGCCACAGATGGACACCTCACAGCTGCTGTTCTTGCACGTCCCACATGGCCCACAGCAGCCCAATGTGGTGTCCAATACATGACCACACAGCTCTGGATGGCAAAGCCACCCCGTGCCCCTGGAAGCACATGGATAATTGAGCTTCCTGCACCCCAAAACCACACAGCCAGTGTGGAGTGGCATATCCCAGCTTGGAAAATGCCAGGGCCTCAGAGCATCCAGCATTAATTTGTGGGGTGGGAAAAGCAGCGTGGCCACCACTCTGATGGCCTCATCAGAGACAGGGGACATCCCCCCACCCTGCTCTGCACACCCTCAACTTTGGAAAAAGCAGTCACCTAACATCTCTTTCTGCCAGCAGCGAGTGTGACCTATTTTAGCAATAAAAGGAAAAGTTCTCTGGTGCCTGGATACCCCTTAGCACTGGCAGCAGAGCATTTGCTCATCCGACCGAGAAATGCACTTTTTAGCATTCGCCTGAGGAAAATAATTCTTCCCAAAGCCAATTCTCAAAGGTAAGAGGAAGGGGAAAGGTTTGGGAGGAATCAGGATGGCTGCAGAGGTGTCACTGTATGAGGTCCAGACATAATTCGGGCTGCAAGGAGAGAAGTGTGGCACACAGCCTACCGTGCTCAGCCTCCCCAGCCCAGAGGAACCATCCTCTGCTGTGAAAACCTCCTCTGAAGTGCAAAGGAGGTGATTATTGATCCAAACAGGTTGGCCACAAGCACAATGCTGTCTGCCCAACTTCCTCCCCAAAACCCTGGGAGGAGCTCACTGCAGATTTAAGTAAAAAATACCAGCAACATAAACCACACAATAACTTCTCCRCAATCAGCTCCCCTGTTGGAGATAAGGTCAGTAATAAAAACCTGGCTGGATATAMGCATTTTTATCTTGCCTACAAGGATGCAACATGTGCTGAAAAGACAAATGCCCTTATTGTTCCGAGACAGTCTCAGTGCCATCCATCTCTCAGAAGCTGCTGACTTGGCCTTTTGTTTTAGGAGGTGACC